AATTCTTTCCCATTACCTATCCTTACTATGGAGTTAACTTGGGCAATCCACTCAAACTCTGACTTGTGGTTTATTTACAGTGAACTCATTGTCTGTAGTTGTTAGGGCTTTTCACATGGTATTGGGAAGCTACAGTAACAGTTATTCTTAAGGACACACAAAATAGTCCAAATGGCTCCTCTGTTTGGTTGGCTTAAAGGAAATAAAAGAAAAGTAAAAGCTCAAATTGCAAGTGACAATGCCATGGAAACATACACCTTTTGTTTTAAAAACCACATATATACAGCTACTATATACAAATATATGCAACATAATGTAAGGTAACATTGACCTGTGCATATATAGATACATGAATACATATATACATATAAACACACATATACACATACTATCTATAAAAGCATGTGCGTGTGTGTGTGTGTGAATACACACATACACAATTTTATTAGTCTCTTCATTAACATGATTGGGGATATGGCTGTATACATACACTCACATTTTTATTAACTCCTTAGGTTAAATTTGTGTATGTTTAAATTATTCTCATAATTGTTTTTTGAAATAAATATAAAACATTAGAATCTTCTTTTATTGAGCCCAAATACCAATTTATAAAGTAAGGCTTTTTTGCACTCAGTGAAATTTTTGGCATTAGAATATAAAATGCTTATTGGATGTTGAAATCTCAAAATTGGATTTTATGATTCAGAGGATAATAATTATTTTGGGGAGGATGGGGAGACTGATGAGATTCCATTCTTCCAAGAACACTTTCTGAATCACCAAAGTTTTCTTTTGAAAAACTCTCTTCCGGCATTAAAAGCTATAATTATGAAGCATCTTAAAGTAAAGCCTTTCCCTTTCATCTTTAAGGATGTTTCCTACTTACCTGAGAATTATTTCTATAAACCCCATACAGACTACTCACCTGAACAACTAGAACAGTTTCTCTTTTAGGCTTCAGTTTTGTGATTGTTTTCTTCTAACTTTTTGTTTTCCTCCATGTTACCAAGGTCTTTGTTTACATGTTTTGATGCAGTTCTGTAAGAGAATAAAATAAACATCATCACATTGACACACACATATTTAACTTTTCTACTTACTTTTAAAGTTTGAATTAATGTATCTTTGAAAAGCAAATGTTTTACAGGCAAGCCACTAGGGCAAACAATTCCACATCCCTGAGCCTTAACTGATAACAAAATACATTCCAGTGAAATGAGCTTGGTCATGGGGTTGCATTAAATGTATGCTAAGAGAAAAAGAAAAAGGTATTTTGAACACAGACTATGAAAACTTTGTTGCATCATATTTTTAGCTGGATTACTTTTCTCTCCACTTTCTGGGAAGTAATTATTATCATTTGATAGTCAAAATTTTCATTCTGGTCAAACATTTTCCACAAAAAAATTCTGAGGGAATTTCATTAGGATCTTTTTTCTTTTGAATTTCCGTATCATGCATCCCAGTTGGGCCAATGTCTTGTGTCTATGTTTATGGATTGTCTTTTCTTGAATAAATAAATAAACAAGATTACAAAGAGATGACGTTTATGATAGAACATTGGCAGTAGAAGCTAGAGCAGCCCTAACATGGCTAGTTCTTAAAGCATGGCCCCAAACCAGCAGTATCGGCATCCCTTGGGAATTTGATAGAAATGCAAATTCTCAGGCCCCACACCAGAACTATGGAAGCAGAAACTCTGGAGATAGGAGCTACAATCTAGGTTAAACAAGACTTCTTGGTCATTCTGCTGCCTGCTAAAGTTTGAAAATCAATGCCTTAGTGCTGCTATGATTTCACTTGCCTAGGTCTATCATTTAAGAACTGAAATTGGATTTTCTTAATTATGCAAGTAAGGTTTTGGGGCCAGCCAAGATAAATCAGAATAAATGGTCGCTGTATTTCCAAGAGTGCACTCCTTCCTCCCTTCCTTCCCAACACTCATATCAAGAAACAGAACAGTAGAGACCATTATATTCCCTTGCAGTCACTACTGCCTCCCCAAAGGCTACTACAACCTGAATTATCACAGAATAGTTTTACCTGTTATTGTAATTTAAATATAAATGGAATCATTCCACATGCATTCATTTGTGTCTGCATTTTATTTAAACTCAACGCTGTTTGCAACATTCATATATAATGGTGCATGTAGTTGTAGATTGTTTTTTCCTATTGGTATATAGCATGTCATTGGGTTAATAAACCATAATTTATGTATTTATTTTATTGGTGATGGGTATTCTTGGTCTTCATTTCTTCTGCAATTTCAATTATAACTGAGACATTTTGTGTGTGACCCACATGTCTCTTATGCTCTTATTCTTTTTCCTCTCTGTGCTTCAATTTGGGTGCTTTCTATTGATCTGTATTGCAATTTACTTCTCT